TTTTGTATTTTTTTTAGTAGAGACGGGGTTTCACCATGTTGACCAGGATGGTCTCGATCTCTTGACCTCGTGATCCACCCGCCTCGGCCTCCCAAAGTGCTGGGATTACAGGCTTGAGCCACCGCGCCCGGCCGAAAATCTTATTCTTTAAGGCTCAAATTAAATGCTACTTTTTTGAGGAGAGCAAAATCACCATCTAGCAGGCAAAAATTCTTTATCTGAGAAGTTTAGAAGGGAGCAAAAACCACCTGGTGACCATCAAACAGGCTAAATTCCTTATCTGGGAAAATAAGAAGTAATTAGGCTTCCCTATCATTTAAAGCAGGCATCTGGCTCCAGATTTCTTTCCCCCCAATATTATAAGTAACTAGAATTTCTACACATCTCTGGAATGCCATGCCAAAACTCACTGGGCAACCCTTGCTGACATTAAGGCACCAAATCATCTACAGATGTAATCATTTATCATTAACTATGTGGCTAGTATGGTCCAAATTACCCTTAAGCTCTCGCCTAAAGGCCCCCAAAGAAAATCCACCACAGTGTGCTTGGTCCTTTCTCACTGACTGCCGCGCTGCATCCTTTTTCAGTGTTCTTTCTTTCTAATAAACTTTCCTTCTTCAAACCTATATTGTTATCAGTCAGTTCTTCTTACCAGCACTCAAGTCAACCACCTCCCGATGCTGGGGCTCTGACACCCTGCCCAGCAATTTTTTCCTGAAGTCTCCAGGTAACCACCCTCCTCCCCAGTTGCTTATTATTTCTCCCCATCTTGAACTTCCAGAGTGTATGTTTGTGACTGTCTTTCCTTATTTGCATTATAATTCTTTGTGAACAGGTCTTACTCCCCCAGTGGAGGTCCTAAAATCCTTTAGTTGGGGTCAGTCATTATTTGTCTTTTCTTTTTTTGAGACGGGGTCTTGCTCTATCACCCAGGCTGGAGTGCAGTGGTCCTATCTCTGCTCACTGCAATCTCCACTTCCTGGGTTTAAGTGATTCTCCCACTTCAGCCTCCCAAGTAGCTAGGATTACAGGTGTGCACCACCACACCCAGCTGATTTTTGTATTTTTTGAATAGGTGGAGTTTTGCCATGCTGGCCAGGCTGGCCTCAGACTCCTGACCTCAAGTGACACATCTGCCTTAGCCTCCCAAAGTGCTGGGATTACAGGTGTAAGCCACCGTGTCTGGTCTGTGTTTTTTTGTTCATTCGGCAAATATTCACTGAGTGCCTTCCATATATCAGGTATCATGGTCCCACCCTTGGAGCACTGATACTCTACAGGAACACAGGCAAGCAAAGGGGGCAGAGAGAGGCTCACCCAGACCACCGCAGGGGCTGTGGCAGCACAAAGTCAGAGCACTGAATCCAGTCATGCAGGGGAAGGGGAGGCTGTCAGGAAAGGCATTAAATGAAATCAGAATATTTTACTTCAAAATATATTTCTTTGACATATTTTGAGATGGCTGTCAGAGAGCCAGCAAAAAGAGGTAGCTCTGCAAAGCTGCCTTTCATGCAGGAGACTTGTATTTGTAGAGGAAAATACAAATACAAATCCTGGCTGCATCAGTGCACCAATGCAGCCAGGATTTTTCTGAGGCTTTCCTTTGTCTAGATCTAGAAAAGATTAACTGACAGTCTGACACCTTTAAAGGCCAAAAAGAAACATTTACTATCTATTCTCTCTGAGGCTGCTACCTGTGAGCTTTCATCTACATAACCCCCTTTGCCAGCCAAGCCTTCACTTTTCTCCTCCCATAACCTGTCTTGCTGCTTAAATCTGATTTACCGCCATAACCTGTCTTTTGCCATCCTCTGAGCCCCCATTCTTCCTGTAGCCTCAAGATGGTATAAGCTTCTGCACCCCATTGGGTGGTTGGGTCTTCATTCTGAAGGATCCCATTTCACATAAAACTATTATCAAATAAATCTGTATGCCTTTTCTTCTATTAATTTGCTTCTTGGCCGAGCATGGTGCCTCACACCTGTAATCCCAGGAGGCCAAGGTAGGCGGATCACTTGAGGTCAGGAGTTTGAGACCAGCCTGGCCAACATGATGAAACCCTGTCTCTACCAAACAATACAAAAATTACCTGGGCATGGTGGTATGTGCCTGTAGTCCCAGCTACTCGTGGAGGCTGAGGTGAGAGGACTCTTGAACCTGGGGGTGGAGGTTGCAGTGAGATCATGCCACTGCACTCCAGCCTGGGTGACAGAGTGAAACCCCATCTCAAAAAAAAGAAAGAAAAGAAAAGAAAAAAAATTTTGCTTTTTTAGGGAAAACTTCAAAGGACAAAAGGAAAACTTTCCCTTGGCCCCAACAGCTTCCTAGAAGTTACATCTAAATGGAAGCCTTGATTTTGTTCACCCCTCTCTATCTCTTGCAGCAAAGTGCATGGAACATCCTAAATGCTTGAAAGAGTAAATGATCATAACATTTCAGAATATCTTTTCATTTAAGGTTCTCAGGTAAAATTCCCTCTCATTATTGGTTAATTCTCAACCTACCACCCCAATACCTACAATGAAAGTGAACTTTTAGTTCAGTAAGGAAAACAATGGCTGACAATTTTCTTGATACACGAACTGGTCTGGAATGCATTTTTCCAAATAAGCAACACAGACTGTGGTCACGTCATCCTGATGGGGCTGCCAGAGAACAGTTGTCATACAAGTCCTTTCCATTTTTAGCATGTCTGTCACCCAAAGGGGGCCCAAGACACAGCAGCCCCTTCTGAAGGACCCCGTTTCCAGAGCTGTCAACTCCTGCTCCAGCCACAGGAGGGGAAAGTGAGGGGGCTAAAGGGGAGGTGTGGGCAGCGGCCCTTTTCACACCAACGCCAGCTCTCAAGGGGGAGCGAGCCCCAGGCCACAGCCTGGGCACACCCATAGAGAAGGGGCTTGTGCCAGGAGGCCAGGAGGAAGGGAGGGGACAGGAAGCGGTACACTTGGGGTCTGGAGACCCACCAAGAAAGGAACACCAAGTTTCAACAACTCTGGCTTTCCAATCAACATAATCTTCAGTATTGCCAGCTACTCCACTCCTATCCTGCCTTAGGAAGCAGGAAGCATATACCCCTAACCTTACCCGGAGGTCCGGCACCGTGCGCACTTCCTGTACACACGGGATGCTGGAATTGGGCCGGGATGATGACTCACCACTGACGATAAGGAGGTCCCTGGGAGCGCTGGGTTGACTTAGAGCGTTTATAGAATTGTTCCTGTGTCAGAGACGTTTAATACTTTTCCATTAGCCACTTCACCACCTCTTCCATTTATTCCTCAACCTGTTTCAGGGCCAGGAAAAGCCTTTGCCAGGTATTGCTGCTTTCCTGCGGGCCCACATAGCAGCAGGAGACCTTACATATGGAGCCTTGGCACATGCCAAGCAACACCTTCCATTAATTACCTCACTGAATCCTTATGACTACCCTACCAGGGACCGGCTGCTTCCACTCCTGCTTCGCATGTTAGAGGTTAAGTGGCTTTCTAGCAAAAGGCTAAGCCTGATTTCTTATAAACTGCCCCATTGCTGGCTCACCCTGAGTGATCCCCACTCCTGATGTGTTGGCCCATGGGCCCACATGTGCTTGGCTGGAGCTGGAGGTCTGGCCTAGTGTGTCTCAGGCCTCTGTGCTCCTGGGTCCTCTGAGCATGTCTCTATTATTGCCCTGGTGATATTGCTGTGTTTGCTAGGCTCCTCATTGTTTTGAGGAGCCTTGAACTTAGGCTCCCCAAGAGGAGAGACCAATGACCCTTGTATTCTGCCCAGAGGCTGGTAACTGCAGGCCGTATTGATAGACTGAATAACTACAGCCTCAAAGGGAAACTGAAGTTGCAAGCCTAAGGGTAAAGCACTATTTACTGTAGATATTATACATACTAGATACTTAATAAATGGCTTGGAGACATCTTCAGGAACTCAATTTGGGTCTAAGGAGGTTCTAAGAATACTCCCAGTTCTAGAAGCAGTTCTAGATCACCCAAGATAGTCGCTCTGTAGCTTCCATTTATGAAGTGCTGATCATGTTCCCAGGATCATAAGCCCTTATACTAGGTCTTTCACACACATTATTTCAAAGAATCTTCTCAACCACTCTTTGAGGTAGATGCTTATCACCTCCATTTTACAGATGAGGAAACTGAGTCACAGAAAGGGGAAGTAGCCCCCAAGTCACTATACAGTAAGAGGTGAAGCTGGCATCCAAAAACTTTTCCTGGCTGCTTTGGAGAAAGCGCCCAAAATCTTTGACTTTCGCAGTAGTAAACAGCATAGCCAAAATCAGAACTGTGATTTATTTAATTGCTAGGTTCATTTCTCCAAAAAAAATTTCAGGCCTCAAAACACCCAAGGCTACCTTTGTCCAAATGCTGAAATCTTTGTAGCTGACACAGAGATAAGATGGGACACTCACCCAAAACCCTGGGGTGCCTATTCAATGATACCCCACATCATCAGGGCCCCAGGAGACCTGCATTCTCTTCTCCAGAACCAAAATGCCTTTGTTTCATGGCAAACAAAGGCCCTGCATTCCCACACAAACACAAGACAGGACAAAGACCTGACAGAACCGAGCACTAGCAGAGCACCATGAGTTATGGAAACAAAGTGCATCTTACATAAAACCAAACCACACCACACCACACCGAAGCCTGGTGTTCTCAGCTGTGTTAGTCAAAGCAAACCGAGCTCATCTCCAAGGCATACATGGGACGAGAGGCAGGCCAGGAGGCATCCAAAGTAGAGATAACTTCCCAATGACCTCAAGTGGCCAGATATAGCCTGTCCTTTTCCTCCAACTGTATCCAGTCCTGGCACCTGAATTCACGTCCCCCCCTCCCCGGCCCCCCATTCCCTCTGGAGCCATCTCTTTGCTCCTGAGGCAAGCAAATGGTCTCACCAGCATTCACTTGGCCTCCGTAGATGGACCAGGGGCGAGACGTGCAGCCCACCCTGCCAAGTGAGACGCCAAGTGCACACGCAGCATGCTGCAGTCCTACCTGGCTCCCACCTCTGCGAGCAGCTTTCCTCCCCGCCTGCTCGCCACCTCTATGCCGCTCTGTCTGCTCAGCCTCACTTCCTGGAAAAGCGCTACCCAGGGGCTTGCCGGGCCGGCTCTCCTCAGGGGTGTTGAGATCTGAGAGTCTCTGTTCAGTACTCAGGCACCTGACCACGTCTGAAGGCTTCAAGCAGCTCTTCTTAGAGATCTTGGGTCCACCAGGGCCTCTCTCGCCTGCCTCCCTCTCTGCTTTCCTCTCATATCGTCCGCTCTCTTCGCGCCACGGCTGCCTGTTGCTCTGGCTGCTAAAGGCATCACTAAGCTGGGAGATGACACTATCAGAGCTCCCCAGCGGCGGCTGCTGCGAGAAGCTATCTTGGTGGACGCCACCGTCTCCATTGATGTGAAGGGAGGCCTGGGAACTGGGTGCTAGGGAGTAGGTTCTGTGCAGTGAAGGTAGGGCCAGTGGAGAAGCTACTGATCGTGGGGTGGGACGATCAGACCAACTCAAATGCGGGAGGCTGAGAGACAGGGAGGGACTGGCCCTCGGGGACAAGGCGAGGTGGTCAGTGTTATAGACAGAAGTCTCTGGCAGAGGAGGCAAGGGTGGGGTCAGGGCCAGAGAACGCCTGCCTGGGACCCCCACAGTCAGTGAGATCCACTCAGAGGTGACGGCGTGCATCTCAGGGGACAGGGCTCGGCGGGAGTGGGGCAGAGATGAGGGGGCTGGCGTGATGAGCTTGCTGTGACTGGAAAACTTAAAAAGAAGAAGAGAGAGAGGAAAACAAAAGAAAGAAGCAAAAGGTACATGTGTCAGCATAAAGGAAAAAGAAGGAAAATAACACCAGGGGTATATAAAGAGGAATGAAATGGAGAGGATGAGCAGGACACTCTGGTGTCCAAAAAGGAAATCCTTAGGTTACATCTGGGGAGAAACCGGGATGTGGGTGAGTGTGCATGTCAGCACATGTGAGCGTGAGCCTCATGTGTACAGGCAGGGGGTGGAGGAAGCAGCAAGAGGTGTGGAGATGGAGAGAGGTCCCGTCAGAGTAACAACGGATGAGGCCAGCCTGCTTTGCAGAATCAGATTTTCAAAGGGACACACTGGATGCTCTCCACCCCAGCCTGCCCCGCCCCTGTGCACCAGATCGCTGACCCAGAACCATGGGGAAAGGTGGCCCAGCACTCCCGTGGCCCTTCCCTGGGGTTTTATTTTTCTCTGGGAGCTCAGCAGAGTCTTCCAGAGAGGGGTATGGGTAGTGTAGTGGTTTTGTTTTACAATCACTCTTGGCCACAGTCAAGTAAGAATGTAGTTGAGCTCTCTGCATCCTTACAAAGCAGAATGTCGCTCCAGTCACACTCCCTGTCCTATAAGACAACAGGATGTGGCTGTCACTGTGCAGGAAGCCCTGCGTCAGCCCATTTAATGCTTTTTGCCAAGAACCCTCTACTGGGGTCAGTGATGAGCAGGTGGGAGAGAAGGAAACGATTAGAGGACCAGACAAGAGGCAGCATCTCAGGGTCACCCTGGACCCCCGGGTCCTACTCTTGTTCCTCTGCAGACCTCCTAACAACTCACATGGTGGTTTGGCTGGGCTCTTTCACAGGATGTCACCCCACCATGTCACCCTGAACGCAAGGCTCAGACATTTTTTTGGCTTTGAGAAAATGGGGATTCGTTTGGAATAATTTATATTTCTAAACAAGTTTGTTTATAATTAATGTTTTGGAAAGCCAACATCTTATTATGCTTATAAACCTACATCCTTTCAGCCCACTGAGACTGAGATGCTTTAAGTTACTTGTTCCAGTCACCTGGCTCCAGTGAATGCAAAAAATACCTTGGATCTGGTCTAGGCGGCTGACGAGGAGAACCTGGAAGCCTCTCTTTCAGCCTTTGTCTTCTGCAGGCCAACTTTGGCCAAGATGACTGAGGACCATGCTGGACCATGGGATTTATGACACAGTGGGGGTACCCACACCAACAACTTACCCAGGAGGGACCAACTGATAAAGGCTCTTGTTCCCTAGTCACCTTATCCCCTGAGCAATTACCTGAAGCTCTTCTTTTCCCCGAGATAACATTTCTTCAACCAAGCACTGGAAAATGTCATTTGTATGCACGAAGACAAGGTCCAGTGTACAGTCTGCTTTTCTGCAGACGGTTTTTAATTGCAGCACTCAAAAACCACCCCAGAGAGGTCGTGTGCCATCAGCACTGTTGACTATGAAAACTCACATGCTGAGTATGAAAACCAGTGACAAGAAGCTTAGATACCTGTGGGCTCGCAGTGGCACTGCGACTTGGGGAGGAGGAGAAAGGCAGGTCCACATAATCCACGGGGTTTTTCACCAGTGGCCGCTTGATCACATCCACGTAGGTGATGGGGAAGATGCCTTGTCGGGATGTCCCTGGGATCCTCCCTTCATACCAGTTCTCATCTACCTGCCGGAGCAGTGTAATCCTCTCACCCTGGAAGACACAGCAAAGCAAGGGTCCTTGTCCTAGTATGCCTCTGCATGCCTAGGGCCTCTGCCTGCACACTTCAACATCCGGCATTATCACATCCTTTGCTCAGGGAAAACCTTCCCTGATGCACCTGGAGGGAATGAACACCACTGGGATGAGGATGCTAATGGCAGTGGAGCTACCTTGATGTGGGAAAGTTCGGCTTGGTTCTTTAAGTATTTTAGTAAAGGACAAGATCAGATTCTTGCCCCTAAGCCAGAGAGCAAATGTAGTGTTACTGACTCATCTAATGTGAAACAGAGAGATCCAATCTTCATCTCTAAGGCAAAGATTTTGGCGGGTTTCTCTTTTTTCTTTCTTTTGTAGCACGATAGCTTTTAATGTATCATTATAGAAAAATCAGAACACAAATAAACATAAAGCAGAAAACAATCATCACCCATCACATTGTCACTTGGGGATAAACACTGTTAATATTTGGCATATGGACTCCCCAGAGTTACTTCTATGCATGTGAATTAAACAAGCACATATTTTTTCTTATGAAAATTGAGTATGGGTGGGGGGCCAGGGGAGGGATAGCAGGGGGTGGGGGGACTGGGGAGAGATAACATTAGGAGAAATACCGAATGTAGGTGACGGGGGGGATGGAGGCAGCAAACCACCATGGCATGTGTATACCTATGTAACAATCCTGCAAGACATGGCACATGTACCCCAGAACTTAAAGTAAAGTAAAATAAAATAAAATAAAAAGAAAATTAAGTATGAACTGTATTTCCCTTTTCCAACTTGCTTTTTTAAAAACACTTAATAGCACATAGTAAACTTTCTTTATCAAGAAATACAATTCTACACTTTTAATGGCTTTGCATAGCTTAATGGACCACTGCAGGGTATTCTGTTGCACACACATATAATGATTTAATTACTGATCCCCTGCTGTTTGGCAACTGGGTTGCTTCCAGTGTTATATAAGATGGCCCATCTTTTTCTAACACATGTGCTCACTTCCCTCAATCCTCAATAAAATCAGTAACTTAATAACTTTAGCAAGCCAGAAAATTTTGCCACGTAGAGTGTTTGGATTCTGAGAAGAAGAACTTCTCTGCAGAATGTAATTGTGTTCTGAATAAGCATGATGATGATGATGATGATGATGATGATGGTACTGGCATCTCCTGTCTACTAAGCACAAACCAGATGCCATATGTCATGCTGGGGGCTTCACATATGCTGTTTCGCCTAAGTCTCTTACAACCACCTAGGAGAGAGCCATTTATCTTCATTTTTTTCTGTAAGAAAATGGTGGCAACCAGGTGTGGTGGCTTACACCTGTAATCTCAGAACTTTCAGAGGCCTAGGCAGGTGGATCAAAAGGTCAGGAGTTCAAGACCAGCCTGGCCAATATAGTGAAACCCCATCTCTACTAAAAATACAAAAATTAGCTGGGCATGGTGGCATATGCCTGTAATCCCAGCTACTCGGGGGGTTGGTTGAGGCAGGAGAATTGCCTGAACCTGGGAGGTGGAGGTTGCAGTGAGCCAAGATCGAGCCCCTGTACTCCAGCTTGGGGTAAAGTAAGAGAGTTTGATTCCGTCTCAAAAAAAAAAAAAAAAAAAAAAGAAGAAGAAAAGAAAAAAGAAAATGGTGGCTTGGAAAAAGTATTTAACTCCCACAGTCTGCATAGTTGATAACCTGTGCCTTTTGGGTTCAAAGCTTTTCAAACTTCTGGTATCGATGGAGTTGTTTTTTCCACTAGGTCACATCAATATATTGTCAAACCCCGTTGCCAACACAGTGCATTTTCACATCATCAGTTGCTCACTGAGTGTTGGTTGAAAACAGTTTATAAAAGATGTCTAAGACTCCAGAAATACTATCTTTAATCAGTGAGCTCAATGTAGTTAAACCCTGACATTAGCCTAGGGTTTATTTAAAAAATACCTTACCTCAGAAAATTCGCCAGTTGCCCTTAATGCAATTCTTTTTTTTTTCTTCAGCAGAGATGGGGTCTTGCTATGTTGCTCAGGCCGGTCTTGAACCTCTGGCATTAAGTGAGCCCCCTGCCTTGGTTTCCCAAAGTGCTGGGATTACAGGCCTTAATGCAATTTTTTTTTTTTTTTTTTTTTGAGACAGAGTTTCGCCCTGTCACCCAGGATGGAGTGCAGTGGTGCAATCTCAGCTTGCTGCAACCTCTGCCTCCCAGGTTCAAGTGATTCTCCTGTCTCAGCTTCCTGAGTAGCTGGGATTAGTGCCCACCACCATGCCCTGCTAATTTTTGTATTTTTAATAGATACGGGGTTTAACTATGTTGGCTAGGCTGGTCTCAAACTCCTGACCTCAAGTGATCCATCCACCTTTGCCTCCCAAAGTGCTAGGATTACAGGCGTGAGCTGTCACACCCAGCCCTTAATGCAACTATTGATTGCCATACTTCTCTTAAGGGTACAGCCAGCACCCCCAGACTGGCATGTGATAGCAACGCCATACTTCCCCACGTAGCAGTGCCATCCAGGAGAGCCCCAAAGCAAGGTATGAGAAGGGCAGCTTACCTTTCTGAAAGACATTTCTACTTGTGTATCACCATTAAAGTTGAACTTAGCAATAGCTTCTCCATATTCCAAAACCTGCACTGGTGTCAACTTTTTGGGCTGAGCCTTCTCAGCAGGAGGAAGAAGCTGAGAAAGGGAAAGAGGTCAAAGAGAACAAGGGAAGAGAAGAAAGCAGGGAAACAAGAGGAAAAGGAGGAAACAAAACACAAGCATTTGGTAAATAAATGGTGCTTTGGACATGGTCAGGCTTTTCCTTAAAAAGAAAAGGGGCTGCAGTACCTCAATGTAGGTGCGTGGGAAGATTCCCACCCGGCCATGGTGTTCTCCTTCATACCAGTTCTGATCAATTTGCTTATAAATGTAAACAATATCTCCCTTCTGCAGAGGAAGCTCCCTGTCGACAGAGGTCAATGGCATTTTAGCGGATGTTTCAATATGTGTAAGATTAAGACACTTCAGTTTTGTAGCAAAAGGAGACATTTAAGTGGGGTCAAAAGGGACAAATTCCAGAGAGGGGGCTCCATATTTGGAAGTAAAAACCCCGCTATTCAGGAAATTACATCACATTTGGCATTTTTCCAGTCTTTTGCAGGATGGATGTTAACATTCAAATTGACTAGCCCTTGAAAGTGCTCAGAGGCCTTATTAATTTGTTGTGGTTTTCTAAATGCATTTTTTGTGAATGCTCTGTTATGCTCAGAATATTTACGCAACACAAAGCAATGCACCCAACTGCCTTAACCGATGTTTGTTAAATGAAGAAACATGTCTCCTTCAGGATACCTTCATGATCCTTGTCTGTGCAAGGCATGCCTTCGTTGCTTTAAACTGCCCTCAAATTATTTGTGATATACTGATATCCTTCTATCATTCCATCTATTTCCCATTTGCCCACTCATCCATTTTACCATCCGTCTTTGTATCATCATGCAGTAGAAAGGTTCTGAAGTTAGGCAGATCTGGTCCAAAAGCCAATTCTGTAATTTACTAGCTCTGGGACCTTGGACACAATACTTAATCTGAGACACTGTTTCTTTAACTGAACTTGGGAGCTAACTCAGAGTTGCTGGAGAATGCTTTGACAATTTAAAAATAAACACCTAGGATGGTGCCTGTTGTACAGGTAGGTAACACTCAATAAATGTTAATTCTATTGCCCTTTTTTTCTTTTATTTTTTTTTTGAGTCAGGGTCTCACTCTGCTGCTCAGGCTAGAGTACAAGTAGCATGATCACAGCTCACTGAAGCCTCAACCTCCTGGTGCAAGTGATCCTCCTACCTCAACCTCCCAAGTAGCTGGGACTACAGGCATGTGCCACCATGTCTGGCCAATTGTTATTTTATTTTTATTTTTTTGTAGAGATGGGGTTTCGCCATGTTGCCCAAGCTGGTCTTGAACTCCTGGTCTCAAGTGATCCTCCTGCCTCAGCCTCCTAAAGTGTTGAGATTACAGGCATGTAGCCACTGCACCCAGCCTAATTCCTTTGCTTTTTAACATAGAGTAAGGATCTTGGAAAGAAAAGTAGATTTTCCTTCAAATGCTCTTTGTGTTCCTTTTCAACTTTTCCATATCCATTCCTTTGCTTGCCTCAATAATTATGTATATATATACATATATGTGTGTATGTATATATATATATATATATATATATATATACACACACACATATATATATTTATTTATTTATTTTATTTATTTATTTATTTATTTTTTTGAGATGAAGTCTTTACTCTGTCACCCAGGTTGAAGTGCAGTGGTGCGAACTTGGCTCACTGCAACCTCCGCCTCCCGGATTCAAGTGATTCTCCTGCCTCAGCCTCCCGAGTAGCTGGGACTACAGGCGTGCACCACCATACACAGCTAATTATCGTACATTTTAGTAAAGATGGGTTTTCATCTTATTGGTCAGGCTGGTCTTGAACTCCTGACCTCGTGATCTACCCGCCTCTGCCTCCCAAAGTGCTGGGATTACAGGCGTGAGCCACCGAGCCCAGCCTGATGTTAATTTTTAACCAGGACTCTTCTTTAAAAAATGAGACAAAAAAGCAAATTTTAAACCAAATGAAAACTTAAGTGGAGGATAAAAATTATAACTTTTTCTTGAATTAAAAAAAAAATGACCTAGATCTTTTTCATTTGAGTCAAACCAATAGGATGAAAAAAAAGGTCTCCAATTGTAACTTGGAAGACGTGTGCTCACTTTGCAGGATGCCAGGAAGCCCCACGGTACGTGAGGGGTGCTGGCTGAACAACGAGGGTACATCTGGAAAACTACAGAAAGTCAGTTCTGTGCTGAATAAAAGCAGAAGGCAGTTTGTGGGCCTCACATTGGCAGATAGGATTCTAACCCTCAAGAGGTCCATAAAGGGGATGTGGTCATTTATCTCTGTGAGAAGGAATGTCTTGGGCCACATTTCTGCCACGACCCTCTTTGGGGGGGTATTATGAATTCCCCTCCCTTCAACCCCAACCATGGGGACATAGATGAGCAAGACCCTCAGCATATTCACTCCTGTAGAGACCTGCAGGCCCCTAACTTTGCTATACTAAGTATCTCGCAGCTGTGGAGTGAGGTGGGAGAGTAATGGTCTTACTGTTAAGCGAAGGACACACTTGTGTGAGGGAGAGAGGAACTGAGGGGTCTGTAGTTGTGGCTGATGGAAGTCTACCATAGGGAATTTTGGGCTGCATTCTTCCAGTACTATGAACCATACCCCTAGCTCCCAAAAAACCACGTGACCAGGTCTGCTGATGAGAGGGTTTGAGTAATATGATTTGCTTTAGATCTTTTTTGGAACATCATGGTGTACATCAGCATAGCAAAGGCTCTGAGAAGTCCAAGGGAAAGAAACCTGTTTAACTTTGTTGAATCAAGTATTCCACAGCATGCTTTTTTTTTTTTTTTTTTTTTGAGACAGAGTCTCACTCTGCTGCCCAGGCTGGAGTGTGTGATCTTGGCTCATTACAACCTCCACCTCCTGGGTTCAAGCAATTCTCAGGCCTCAGCCTCCTGTGTAGCTGGAGTTACAGGCAATTCCCACCATGCCCAGCTAATTTTTGTATTTTTTGATAGAGACAGGGTTTCGCCGTGTTGGCCAGGCTGGTCTTGAACTCCTGACCTCAAGTGATCCACCAGCCTCGGCCTCCCAAAGTGCTGGGATTACTGGCATAAGCCACCACTCCTGGCCCCGACAGCATGCTTATTTGAGTAACTGACTATGGGGAAATGTAAAACCAAGGGCTTGAAAAACTATGGAGCTAGGATTTACTTTTTCCAGTAAATTTTGTTGACTTTTTTTTTGAAGGCAGCATGTTGTGATGAAAACACTGAGTCAGGAGGAAGGAACCCTCTCTCCTGCATTAGCAATGTTGATAAAAGGTGACAATTTCTGTGGATCTCAGCTTTCTCACCTGTTCTATTTGACAGTTGCTCTAAAAAAATTTAAGACTATGAAATCTGAGAAAATGTAATATTACCATCACTATGCCATTTAATAAATCTCACATAGATTTTTCTCAATTCAAAGAAAAAAGGTACCTACTTAATTAAACTGCAAATTAATTTATATATCTCTGTTATCCATTTTTTTTTTTTAAGTGGGGGAAGAGGATAATATATTTTGAGTACTAAATTTTGCTACGCTATGTAAAATGTTTTACAGGTATTACCCTAGCTTCCCTGCAAAAGAGGCATTTTTACCCCTCTCTTGCAGATAAAGAAAACTGAGTAGGGGAGAATTTGCTAACTTGACTACAGTCACAGAGATGGTAGCTGGCACAGTCAGGATTTGAACCCAGGACTTCCTGATTCTAAAGCCACAGTGTTTGCAATATGTTACACAGCCACCTCCTTTAGCTGACAAACTAAAGGACTGTAGTAACACATACAAACCCAACTGCACCAGATTTGTGCCTAGGTCTGGACACTGTGGCCTGGTCACTCATTTTGCAATGGAGGAGATTAGAACCCAGGTTGGTTAGCTCCACACAGCATTTCCCAGCATCTGTGGACAGAAAGCTCTCCCTCTCATCACCAGGTTTGCGACTGTCCATCTGCAGGACAATGGGATGGCTGCTGATCATCGTACTTTCAGCTGCCAATGAGAACTCATGGACTATTTTAATCCATAATTAGATAAAAAGCCAGCTGTTTCCATATGGAATCTAGTCTTTGGTAGCATTTCCCAAATCGTGTTTTAGGTTCCTTTCTTGAAAGACTTCTGGAGCTATTAATATGCCATCAACAAAGTATCTTTTCAAAGTGGGTGGGAGGCATAGATATAACAGGCAGTGTTTCCCAACTCATTCTACAACAGAACTCTTTTTGAGAAACATCTTAGAGGGCTAGCACTCTGAGGAACACACTTAGAGAAACACTAGTCTCCTGTGGGTTCATGTAAGACTTTAATCTCTTGGGATGTAGCAAAATGGGTAAAGTTATCTCCCTAGAGACTGGTCTAGATCATTCCACAGAAAAGATGGGTCAGATCAAGCCACCACTTAAGCAAATAGAACCCCTACATAGGAGGAGGCAGGGTGAGACAGGGTACAAGAGCCCAACCTCTGCCTAAGTTTGAATTCCAACTCTATCACACCAGCTTGAGCAAGTTCTTAACCTTATATAGTCCCTTGTTCTCTTCATTTGAACAGGGAGGATAGTCACAGCACCCACTCTGTAATGAGTATATGTACTTAGAATAGTGCTTGGCACATAGCAAACTCTATAAACTACTGTTTTGTTTTTTAACAATTTTTACCATTGTTATTTATCCAACTGTTCTCTATAAACAAACTGTTGTGTTTCAAAGGGGCAGCTAAGAAGATAAACAAATATGACTGGTGGCACTTACTTTAGTGTCTGAGCTTTAAAGTCAAATTTGGCTCTGGCAGGTCTCATCTGAACATAAGAAACAATGACAAGTTAAAATCAGGATTCATGTACAAGAAGGACACATTTTCACAAATTTCTAGAAGCAAAGCAGAAAAATTCACTCTAGCCAGTTTGTTCTAGTATAGAAATCTGGACAAAATTGCATTTGTCTGACCTTAGACACTACATAAATATTCAGCCAACTATGTATGTCGTGCATAAGAATCCCCCTAAAAAGAGCCAGATGTGGGGAAGAGATGGTTAGAAAGGTCCCAAAGCTGAGGGACTAGTTCCTCAAAACATGCTGGCCATGGCTAGTAAAAAAACATACAAACAAACAAATTAACAAAGTCAGCCAGAAGTCCTAGGATGTTCCTTATCTACTGTCTAATTCCTTTGGGACATCTATTTGCTTAAATTATGATACGCAAGTAGATGAAATGCCAATTCACTTCTCACATCATCTCCAACTGCATATATTTCTTAAGATTTGTGACATCATCCAAAAAGCCAGATAAAGTGGTCTCTGAGCTCCAATGACTCCTCACAAGACTTCCAACCCTGCTGGGTAGCCCTGTCTTCCCAGATGCCCAGGTGTGAGTCAGCCTCTACCCCTTCTCCACTTCCTGGTCAAGTCTGTTGTTAAGTCTAGAGGGACCTCCCTCCGTATCTCCACAACCCTGTCGCTCGAGGCTGACGATTAGTTCCCAGTGGCACAAAGCTTCCTTTGATTTCACATTCTCTTCACTCTAATCTATCACCCAGGAGCACAAGTAACATTCCTAACATTCTTCCTCGAATCTCTTCCTTGCTTTGAAGTTGGATGCTGCTCTCAACTTTCTCTCAGTTCAAATCTCAACTCCTGCCATAGGTGAAGGCCTTTGGGTGGTTTCTCCCTACTCTTACCAAATTGCCTCTATCCCTACTACACTGTTCCTGTTCCAGTCAAATCTATTTGCTACACCTCAGCTGAACCCCCTCCTACCCTTTTCTCTCTCTGGAATTTCTTTTTTTTTTTTTGAGACAGGGTCTTGCTCTGTCACTAGGCTGGAGTACAGTGGCATGATCTCAGCTCACTGCAACCTCCGCCTCCCAGGTTCAAGTGATTCTCCTGCCTCAGCCTCCTGAGTAGCTAGGAATACAGGTATATGCCACCACCCCTCTCTAATTTTTATATTTCTCGGTAGGGGCAGGGTTTCACCATGTTGGCCAGGCTGGTCTCTAACTCCTGGCCTCAAGTGATCCACCCACCTCAGCCTCCCACAGTCCTGGGATTACAGGTGTGAGCCACCATGGCCAGCTGCAGAATTTCTTTTCTTTCTTTTTTTTTTTTTTGAGACAGGGTCTCACCCTGTTGCCCAGGCTGGAGGGCAGTGGTACAATCATGGCTCACTGCAGTCTTGACTTCCTAGGCTCAGGTGATCCTCCCACCTCAGCCCCCTGCGTAGCTAGGACTACAGCCACGCACCACCACGGCTGGATAATTTTTGTACAGATAGGGTCCCACTATGTTGCCCAGGCTGGTCTCAGGTTCCTGGGTTCAAGCAGTCCTCCTGTCTTGGCCTCCCAAAGTATTGGGATTATAGGTGTAAGCCACCGTGCCTAGCCTTCCACAGGTATTTTTGAAGTTTGCATTTTCACAATGATGTTTTCATCTACTGCCTATCTATACCATACATATTGGGGCCAAGTGAATGATCACGTTATAATCAAGCTAAAGCCACACAATTTCAATACCTGTGTTTGTGTCTGTAACCGAAGAGCATAATTCACAGTTACAGGTGAACAAGAAAAGAATGGATGTGGAGTTAATGATGAATGACAAGTTCACAAGAGAAGACCAAATGACCAAAATTATAAGGATAAGAATTTCACAGTGATTCCAACAGAAAAATACAAGGAAGTAGGTTACCTCCTGTCACCCAGCTGTAGAGCTGAGTGAACTTTAAAAAACTTATACTAAAGCAGCACCATATTCACACTTTGGTAACTGAGTTCTGTCAAAACAATAGCTCGTATCAATTAAATTAATATAATTAGATAGGTGTATAATTTGTGATTAATTTGTAAATAGACTTAGGTTAATAAGGGGTGGTGGTGAGATTTTTTTTCATTAAAGGTTCATTAAAGTTCACTGATTGCACTGAACTCTTGAGACACGTATGAGAGTCACTGATGGTTATACAAAGTAGCATCCTCTCTCTCTTTATCTCCCTATAGCTTCCCAAGACTGAATCCATCTTTCCCTCCTCTGGCTTTCTCAGTATCGTGTTACCTACTACAGGGGAGAGATAACCGTACTTTAGTAACTGTAGTAAGTGCTACCAATGCATATGGATGTGGGTATGAGAAAGCAGCATGTTGTGATGAAAACATAGTCTCCCTCTTCCACTATCAGCTCCCCAAGGGCATACAGACTGAGTTATTTCTGCCTCCCACAGGGTCTTACACAGAACCAGTGGTCACCCAAGTCCTAGTCAATGGGACTGAAGTGCATTGACACAGTGGGGTGCACCTGGGATGTGCTGGTTTCTACTTTTTCAAGTCCATCAGTCAACTTCTAGGGCAGTAATTCTCACAATGTGTTCCCTAAACTGGTATCATCAATATCACCTGGGAAACTGTTACAAATGCAAAGTTTCAGGCCCCACTGCAGAATCAGAAACTTTGGAGATAGGACCCAGGGTCTGTATTTTACCAAGGCTTCCAGGGGATGCTAACATACTTGTCATTTAAGAAACGTTGCTCTACAAGCGAGGCAGGCTCATTGGGCAGAGTTTGCCTGCCTCTGTCCATGGTTATTCCACCCATGGTATATTTTTGTTTCCATATATCATCTACATGTGTAAGTGTGAAGCCCTAGTGCCTTTACCTGTTTCCATCTTCTTCTACTTACAAGCAGGTAGGACTGTGGGTGAGGACAAACCATGCCCAGAGCCTTCTGAGAAGGGCCATTTTGAGGAGGAGCTGGAATGTTGAGGGCTCAAGGGCTATCTTTTCTTTGCAATTAACACTTGCTAACTTTTGCTTCTTCCTGGATAGATTTTCTTTTTCTCCATCACTTTAGAGACTCCTTCTCTACCGAGCTTTCTTTTTTCTTTTAAATTTGAGATAGGTTCAAGTTTCTTTAAATTTGACACAGGGTCTCACTCTGCCACCCAGCTGGAGTGGTGTGTTCATAATTCAGCCTTGAACTTTGGGGTCAAGTCATCCTCCCACCTCAGGCTCCCAAGTAGCTATGACTATAGGCATGTGCCACTAAGCACACTGGCTAATTCTTCAGTTTTTCAATTTTTTTTTTCTTTTGTGAAGACGAGGTCTTCCTATGGTGCATAGGCTAGTTTCGAACTCCTGGCCATGAATGATCCTCCTGGCTCAGCCTCTCAGTATGCTGGGATTATAGACTTGAGCCACTAAACCTAGCCAGCTTTCTTTTAATTTGGTTCCTTCTTTTCACTATCTCTTCTTCCCAGACACCTTCTGTTTTTTTTGAGACAGGGTCTTACCCCTGCTCAGGCTAGAGTGTAGTGGCATGATCATGACTGTGCAGCTTTGACCTTCCAGGCTCCAGCAACTCTCCTGCCTCAGCCTCCCAAGTAGTTGGGACTACAGGTGTGTGCCATAACGTAGGCCTATCTGCCAACCTATCTAATTAATTAATTAATTAGAGATGGGGGTCTCACTATGTTGCCCAAGCTGGTCTTAAACTCCTGGGCTCAAGCAAATCTCCCACCATGACTTCCCAAAGCACTGGGATTACAGGCGTGAGCCACTATGTCCAGTTGTATTTCTTAAAAAAATAAAAATAAAAATAAAAATAAAAAAAGATGAATAGCCAATGGTGCTCCTGTTACTCAAAAGATAGAAACATAAATATTAATCTGCTGTATTGAAAGGTTATAAAACAGTACATACTTTGGGTGTTACTCCCCCATTGCCCTACCTCCCACCCTAAATCCCAGACACACACGTTTTTCCTAAAAGAGATCATCTTCAGTGGGGTTACTTAAGGGTTACATGGCAAAGCATGAACTCTTACACAAGATGCAGCATTTGGCTAGCATGAGAATTATGACATGTTGACCTTTGTGCAGGAGGCCAAGACCTGGATAAAATTCACTTCAAAGTTTGTTCTTCTTTTTCCTTTGTAATATTAAGCTTTCACAATCTAGGCGGGGAAATGTCAAAACTAAAAGAACGAATGAAACGTCCCTTGGAGAACTTTCTTACCCTCTGTGAGTTTCTCCTAACTGAGAAAGTCTTTAGGCTTCAAAATTCTTCAGTGAGGCACACTACGGCAGCACTACTGAACACACAATTCATCCACCTACATGTGAACAGCAGTATTGTTCTCTAGTTCAATATGAATGTCACAAAATTTGGAGACCTTTGTAAACGGCATAAAGTATTGTTAAGCTAACTTTTGTAAAGTTTCATTAACCATCTCTTCAAAGAAGAATTGTGTAGCTGTCCATATCACAGCTACCAATGCATATGGACTCAGGTATGAGGTTTCTAAACAGAACACGCAGGCAACACAGTAGCATGATAAAATGCAGGATATGGAGGGCTGGACTCATGAAGGCAGCCGATGCTCTAAGGCATGCAGTAGGGGTGTGTGCCAGCAGACCCCAGTCCCCCAGCCAGGCATGCTTGAACATACAGAGCACAGGACATAATGGGGTCATGTCTATTTACCAGCCACAAGAAGCCAAAGCAAGCCTAAGGGAAGCCAGGATGACAGATGCTATTTGGGGAACTACATTGGCCTACAGAGGGCAATGCTGAGGGGAGGCAAATAGGCAAATATTGCTTTGGGTCAAGCAGCAGATTGAGGTGACCAAAACAGACCTCTGACCCAGATTTCCTTTTTGCGGTATCGTCTATATTGAGGAGGTCCCCAAAGCGCTCATTAGTGATAAACTGATGGTGCGTCGGAATGACGCCCGTGTGGCGTCGAGCTGCAATATCAGCCTCTTCTTGCTCGCGCTTAAGTCGTCTCTGGTCCGCTAAAAGTTTCTGCCATAAAATTGCATAAAATGGGCAGTGAATCATCTGGTCCAGCATATTAGAAAACTACCAACAAAAGTCATTAGGGAAGAAGGTGCTGGGTGAACAGGGCAGAGGCATTAACTGTCAGCTGTCAGAGGGGCTTCAAAGCCACAACTACTACGCTCCCATCGTAACCACCCTTCGTGCACTGTGGAAAGGAGGCAGCTCTTCACTGGGAAAGCCGGGATGGGGGAAGGATGATTCCGCATGATTACACTCTACAGCAAACTATCTACCCCCAGCTCAGCCCAAAGCCACCTGCTCCTGGGAGCAAAGGCCAGGTGAGCCCAGGAGCACATCCAGGGCATTCCCAAGCATGCTGGGCTGACAGCGGGAGGCTGGAAGTACCATCTCTACCCTGTTTAGGCAGGGATATATTCCCACAGCATATTCCCCCTGGCAGGACCAAGGCTGGCCAATTCCTCCTGCCCATCTCAGGCCTATTAAACCTGCTATAGGCTTTTGCTAGTGAAGTCTATGGCACCAGGTCATTTTTGCGCTTCCTGCGCCTATTACTCCAATATGCTCTTGACAGAGTGGAGCAGCTCATTTTGGAAGACGATGCCCCTTCTAGGCCAGCCAACTCTTCCCCTAGGCACAATTTTTAGAAGGCCTTAGGATATGCACCAAAGGCTAATTATGTGGCTGACAGAGAACATCCGTTGCTTTCTTACTGAATGATCTGAAATGAAGCTAAGTTAAAGGGAATGACAGAGAACATAAAGATTAAAAAACCCTAAGAATAATGGTACCTGGGGTTAGAAGAAATATTATCTCCTAGAGTAAGGAAAAAGCAATCTACTTCTATTTTTAAAGGCTTCTCTGAAAAATCAAACAATGTTGCTTTTTACCAAATGTCCTGAATGCCTATTAAAATGACCCCATGGAATAGAATTTTTATGTGTTTTCTGATACATAACAATCTTACTTTCCTGGGATTAACTTTCCTTGTAGGAAAGCATGAATTAGAACTGATAATTCTTAGCACTGGATAATTCCAGCAGGCAATTACATGCCTCATGACATGCAGCCCCAAAGGATGCTGGGCCCAATTTTTCTCCAGGGTCTACAAATAAAAAAGTGACAACTCATCAAATGGCTGTGGGAGTTCCAGTACTCAAGTAAATTGTAAAGATTAAATGAGAAAAGACATGAGAAAGTCCTTTGCAAAGCCCAGTGCCACGGAAAGAGTACTGGCCAGGCATCTGGAGCCCTAGTTTCTAGCTCTGCTATGGGTATAGGTTAACTTACTATGCAGCCCTGGGGAAGCTACCACCTTGTTGTGGTCCTTGCCTGGACTAAACAAGGGCTTGGCTACATGACCACTAATGTCCCTGCCAAGACTGATATGTTCTCATTTTCTGAAATTCTGTTATTATCCACGTTAGTGATAAAGCATTTGTAATGGGAAGGGCCTGACTGACACCCCATGAGCTGGGAAGTGTGAGCTGTTTCTGTAGCCATGGGGATGGAGTGATGCTTGAGGCTGCCACAGTTCTTACTCAATCTCTTGTGTTCTGGCTGGAGTTAAACATAATCAATGGAAGTGGACATCAAATGGGGCAAAGCTCCCAATCTAGTAATTGAATCGGACCTTAGTAAGTCCCTCGACCCTGTAGTTTAACCATATAAGTCAAAAACCATGGATAAAGACACAAAACTTTTAAGGATCTATGAGCCAATGTTATTCAGGAGACAACAGCTAACGTTCTTATGTAACTTCTAATATATCAATTTCTAAACACCAGATAAACTACACCACCCATGTGATAGGCAAGGATTGTCACATAAAACCTCCTAGGTCAGAGACTAGGGTTTAAATTACTAAAATGGAATTACATCTTCCTTCATCATAGCAGCCCAGGCCTTGGGAATCTTGTATCTTGTGGCAGGAAATAGTTAACAAAGAGCTATAGAAATGAATCTGCTCTGTGGCCTGATGGACACTCATCATGAGTAAGTTACTACAAATAATACTGTACATCAAATGCTTCCTCTTGTTTCTTTCCATGGATAGGTGCAAGTTTCTTACTGAATACTGTTTAATTGTAGCCAGAGATGGGGAAAGGTATGGTGGTTTCTTTCTTTCTTTTTTTTTTTGAGATGGAGTCTTGCACTGTTCCCTGGGGTTGGAGTGCAGTGGCGTGACCTTGGCTCACTGCAGCCTCCACCTCCTGGGTTCATGCAATTCATCTGCCTCAGCCTCCTGAGTAGCTAGAATTACAGGCACCCACCACCCTGCTCGACTAATTTTTTGTATTTTTAGTAGAGATGGGGTTTCACTATGTTGGCCAGGCTGGTCTCAAACTCCTGACCTCATGATCTGCCCACCTCGGCCTCCCAAAGTGCTGGCATTACAGGCGTGAGCCACCACGCCTGGCCATGGTGGTTTCATTTTTGCCTTTTGTTTCACCATCTGGAGGCAATAATTATCATCATCCCACTCGTCCCCAAGTCAGCCTTACCCTAAATCCTTCAGGAAACCCCACCTAAACTCTGGAACTACTCAACAAGACAAAACAATAGAGAAAAAGGGCTTCAGACTTGAACATGAACGGGACAGAATGGTGCACACATGCACACCCTCCCCTACTGCTACCAGGTCAAGGTGAGTTTTCCATCTCTTAATTCATTTCAGGAATATGGGCATTGGAGCTTGTTTAATCTATAGGACTCTTTTTCTAGGGGATGTGAAGCCCAGAAAGCATACAACATGACAACGATTTATTCCAGCAGAAGCTTGTGATTTTTCCCCATTTGGCTGATGCAAAGAACTACCTCTTCCCAAATCCCCAAGAAAAGGGACTCTTTCCCAGGCCCTGCCAGTCACCCCATGTCAGGACAGGCATTTCAGTAGTTACAAGAAAATATCCACATTTTGAAGTTCTTGTAGGTTTGCCAGCATTTCTTGGTGTATCTGCCTTCTTCTGAGTTGAAGGCAACAGAGTTATAGGCAACTTCCTTAAATTGTTTTATAAAATGTATCAAGGTCACTACTATTTTTCATTTTCCTCTTTCTCCTATTGCATCCTTCTCAATTTGAAAAAAGCTTTCTGCCGACAGAGGGGTGGGCAGTATTGGAGAAATAATGTGGGTGGATTTCCTTGGAGACTACCAAGGGTGGGGCTGAGGGGGATGAAAGAGCAAACTCTGGTGTCTCGCTTACAAGGCATTAAGTGCAGCAGTGGACAACCTCTTTCTGTATCTCCCATGCAGCAGTGCTGGCTGGAACTGGCATTTATAACCTAGTGCCTGTGGGGAAATCAGTTCTACTTTTTGGAAAAGTTGACTAAAAGAGGAGTGACTGAGCCTAGGTCATATAAAAAAATCATTTGTGAAAGCCTCAATTTTTGCTTCCAATTGCTAGACCATGTCACCTCTCTGACAGATGTCTAGAATCTTTACTTTCTTCATATGTTTTTCCAAGCAAAAGCTAAGAAATTTGAAAGATGGGATTTACCTCCTTATCATCATGACGTCTTCGAATAAATTCTTCTGTGGATTCCAAGTAATCAGCTGGTATAAAATGTCTTGGCGATTCTGAATCTTTAAAACAACAAAGTAGAGTTAAAACAGGCAAAGATTTAGCTGGAAACCAACTTGGGAAGAGAGTTCACCTTTCATCTATTATAAATATCAAAATTTTATAGGCATTGTTGATTAATGATCAATGGTCAAATTCTGATGAAAAAAAAAAAAACAAATTCCACCCCCTGCCCCACTTTTTGGATTTATTTGTGAACTAGTTTAATGCAAAGAGAACTACTACTCAGAAGGCAAAAGGTGAGCAAAATGAGAGGACTTTCTTTGTAAAGTGTCCCTACAAAGAGGCGTGCAAGACCTTATAGGGACAAGTCACACACACACACATAGGGCCACTGAGAGAGGCTGCCTCTCAAAAAACCATGGGTTACGTTGGGAACTGGTGCAAACAGCAAGGGGTTCGAGAGCTCAAATGAACACATTTCTCAGTTGAGCTAAACGGCCAATTTTTCTTTCGAAACACAGTTTGGTGGTTAGTCTAAATGACATGGGGGTTTTGTTTTTAAAGAAGTGCAGCCACTACGAGCCATGATTAATTGCCAAGCAAAACAAACAGAAAACAAAGGACAGACCAGAAAATGAGCACCAAGGGCACAGAAGAGGAAGGGTAATGCAAGCAAAGTGGAGGACGGGGAGGTGAGACTAGGCAAACACACAAAATGCCACCTCCGCGGGACGGTGCCAGTTCACTTTGAGGGTTGTTGTTCCTGTCCAGCCTGTGGTCTGAGTATGGCACGGAGTTTCCATTATTAATGACCCTTGGGTAGTCCTCCAGGGCCGCGGGTCTCTCCTGAGAGGGCTCTGAGCTGCGGCTAAGCCTGGCCATGGTGTGTCGGGAAGACAGGCGTGTGGGAACCACGGGCTTCCCCCCAGAAGGGGGCTGGTCCTGATGGGGCTGACTGGGTAGGTCTGGCTTCTGGCCCACCAGCAGGCCTGAGGAGTCACCAGGGGAAGGTTGTCTGGCGTGGTGCTGGAGGGGCTTTTTCAGCCGGAAAGGAAGGGGGCTCATTAGGTAGATGTTCCTGAGGAGGGTGCTCTTGTCCCCTCTGGAATCCAGGCGCCACTCGGGCTGTCTAGAGGTCTGCTGCTGCTCATGCTTCCGGATGGTGGTGAAGCGGGTGTATGAGGCCGGGCAGGTGCCCTTGCACTTATTGAGGCGATGTTTGGGGAAATCTCCATGAACGCTGCCGCCACTGCCTTCTCTGCTGTCAGTGGAGATATTTGAACAGCGGTCCAGGTCATCAGAGCAGGTGGAGAGGGGCTCAGAAGGCACAAGGCCCCTGAAGCCCAAGGCATGGTGCGCCATATTGCTACATGTTGGGGAGGCATAGACCCCGATGGAGTTCATCCCATCCATCTCCTTGGGACGAAGCTTGGTTGACTCAAGGAGGGACTCGGCCGAGCGGGCTGAAGTCAGGCTTCCCCGGGACAGCACGGGTGTGGGAGACTTGCTCAGCCTGCCGGACAGGTCCAGGGACGGCATGGAACGGGACCGCTGAATTAACTGCTCAAAAGCCGTGATGCGGGAAGAGACGGTGTGCTTGGGGATGTGTTCTGAGCCCTCCTGGCTGGGGCCCAGCTCACCCCTGGACAATGCCAGGCCACTCTTTTCAAAGTGGGAGGCGAGATCCCGCACACTCGAGGAGGAGGAGACGGAGCCCAGGAAGAGGCCAGCTCGGTTGATCTGGTGCATGTCCCGGTAGAGCATGGTGAACTGCATCCCAGCCTTTCTTGAGAGAGGGCAGGGCCTCCTGCCGCTGGTGCCGTACTCTTGGAGGCTCATGGTGCTGCTCGACTTGCTGTCATAATCCCGTCGGGAGCGCATGAACAGGTTCTCGATGCTCCCTCCCACTTGGAGGGGGAGGTCTCTTTTGGAATCATTCAAAGAACCGGAAACACAAAGGTTCTCACAGCTTTGAGCCTTCTCTGAGGGCAAGAGGATACTCTTCTGTTCTTGCAAAAGAGCGCTGGGAGCAGAGAGCCTGGGTTTGAATTTGGAAGGAAGGATTTCCGAAATGCAGGCTTTCGCAGCTGACAGGGGCTTCTTTTGCTTACACACAGGGCCTAACGCATTGCTAGTGTTAAACGTTCGGCTATGGACTGAAGATGAAGAAATCATGTGAGCATTCCCACCTTTACGATCCACTGGTAAGCATGCAGAATAAAATAAATAGACCCATTAGGTTAAAGCTGAAAGCTGCTAAAAAGAAAAAGGAGAGGTAACATGCTCATTGGTCATAAGGGCTTTTAAAAAATTCCCAGTCGATGTTTGGAAGCAAAATAATCTGTGCTGCAAAGCAGGTGCAAGGATGCAACAACAAAAAAATGGCTACTCTGCTAGAGTTAGGAATGGCTAAAGCTCAGCTAATTTCTAAGAAAAGGTAATTAGGATGAGAGAGAGAGAGAGAGACATCTTCAAGGAGAGCAAGGTTGCTGGGGGGGGGGGGGGGGGGGTCAAAAAAAGGGAAACTATTAAAACCAGAAAGAAAAATGGCCGGTAAGAAAATAGGGAAGGGAATTTACGAGGGCTCCAAGGCCTGAATGTGGGTCTGAACGAGGTGGGACTCATCCCCATTGCTGGAGGTTCACCACAGCTGACGCTCAGTGGATGGAGGTGGATGGGAGACGGAGGCCTGCAGGCTTCACCCAGTTTATTACCTTTTGTGGAAGCTGAGCTGGATGGTCGCTTGAGCCCACTCAGGCCCTGAAGAGGGATGTCGCCACCTTCCAATACACTTTTGTAAATTTGTCTCTCATTCTCCAAGCTAGTGAGATCCCCAGGAGCCCCATCTGATTCCCTCTTCACTGCATGGAAGTTGGAAGAATATATGCTATGAACAGGTAGTTTTGAAAGAAAGAGAGAAAAGGGAAAAAATGAAGATAAGAATAGGAGTTAGCACTTTTGACATTTTTCAAATAGCCCATTACGTGCTGAGGACAAGAAATATACCTCCTGGCATCCTAATCAAGCACTGTCCTTTCTAAAGAGTGCTCTTATTTAAAAACACATTTCTACAGATAGGCCCATGGAGCCCTGAATGCTCAGGAATCTTGCTCAAACAGCAAAGTTCTCTAATTGAGATGGCTGCATTTGGGCTTTAAAAGAAAAATTCTATCGAATGCTGCCAGGAGAAGAAGGGTTGGAGGAAGGATGGGGGAGACAGAAGAACTACACACAGCAGGAGGGAAGCAGAACCCAGTGGCTACAGGCACGGCGGTGCAGTCAAGGACATGGGCGGTGCCTCTGTCATGTAGCCAGCCAGTGTCAGCTACTTCAAGTCCACTACCTGGATTATTTTTCTGGCTTATTCTTCATAAGCACTTTGGAATATTAAAATCAGCAATGAAAGGGGGAGGCCCAACTGTCTTGGGTCTCCAGGAAAATCAGTGACCAAGTGAAATTGGAACCTGGGATTCTATGGGCTCTTAGTATCACAGCCAAATTTGCATTGCTTCTTTCAAAGCTTGTGTTCAGAACATTATGATATACAGTATAAGTATAAACAATTGCTCATTCATAGCCTCCATTTATTTTTTATCTCATTAAAATCTAGGTATTTCTGCAAGTTACCACAGATTCCTTTTGGAATGAGGTGAGGCACAGAAAAAAAAATTAAGAGTACTTACTCACTGAGTCCCTCCCTTCTCCTAATCCCACTTTTCTATGCCTGCCACTCACATACTGTAATTGACACACATACACACACACACACACACACACACACAGACACATACATGCACAGACATGCATGTGCACACATACACACACACACCCCTCAGTTAAGTGAATGACTCCTGTCCTGCAGAAGCACATAGGCTCCTGCTTTTATTCCTACCAAACTCAGTTTACTGGTATCAAAATAGATTTTTCAGCTCTGAAGACCCATTAGTAGGTGGAATTCCTTCATCCCTCTGTTTCATTGTGAATATCATCTAATACAATAGAATAGCTTAAAGAATTACAAAGTGAACACCCATATTGTCCCCAACTGGCTTCTACGGGGGACATGAACTATGACTGTTTGATCACACATCTGTCCAGCTGTATTTCCCTCTACTCATCCAGCAATGATCAATAATGCAATGCTTTTATATTCTGGGAAGCTGGCCTTTCTTTCTGTGCATAATTGCAGCCTCTGAGCCCCCATGGTCACCAATAATGACAGCAAAAACAACTCTACACACCTCTTGGTGAGGCGTCCTATGTGGCAGGCACTGTGCCTATTGATCATTCTCGCTTCAATCCTAACCATCCTACTTCTGCTATTTTTCAGATGAGGAAACGAAGCACTAATAGATTCAGTAACTTGTCAAAGCAGGCAGGTTAGCAGAATGGCGGGGTTGGAACTTGAACCAGGCTGTTGAGCACTACACAGATAGTATTCTAGTATTCTCTCTCAGCTCCTGTTTCAATTTACTATTTATTTATTTTTTTGTAGAGACAGGGTCTTGCTATGTTGCCCAGGTTGGTCTTCAACTCCTGGCCTCAAGTGATCTTCCCACCTTGCCCTCCAACAGTGTTGGGGTTACAGGCATGAGCCAATGCGCCCAACCTTCAGTGGCTGTTTTATTAATAGATAGAACACTTCCCTGCAACTGAGAAGGCAGTGACTTGCACACCACAGGAACCAGAGGGAACTCAGAGATGCTCCAGCTCTCTATATGCCACCGCTGCTGAGCATTACTCACCATGAATACACCCCTAAGACAAATGGCACCAGAACCCAGGAGTCAGAAATGGAAAAGAGGTGGGGACTCTGGCAGAATACCATGGCATCTCCACCTTAGAATAATAAAGTCCCCTGAGCAATACCATTGCTTCTGGCACTCATAATCCCCTCACAGGAGCTGCCACTTACTGAGCCTCACCTGTGCCAGTTGGGGCTAAGGACTTTATGTACCCTATTTCAGGGGACTGCGGGGGTGGGGGTCAGAGCTCCCCCATGGCCCTCCTTCATTCACTCTGGTCTAGGTATGGGGATCAAATGCTTTTCCTCTTTACTTATAGGAGATGGAAGAACCTGACGGTAGCTTGCAAGGCTGTGGCACCATATGCCAATTTAAATAAATGTGAGCTGATCTAAACTGGCTTTAATTTTGAATTTCCTAATTAAAAATAAATCTGCCCCTTTTCCAAATTTCCTATTCACTATCCACTCTCTCCTTTACTTGCATCTTCTGATTTGCCCTTCAGTTTACTGTTATGTTTCCTCTTTTTTGTATAACCCCAACAGCAAAAACATCCATGTATAGATGTTCTGTATCGTTGCTGACCAATGTGGTGGTGACTGAGGTCTCTTTTGTGAAGGTATGGTGTCTGGGCCTACCACACCTCCCTCAGACTTGGAGAGTAGTAAACTAAACTGGGCTTGAGGCTGCCTCCATACTTCAAATTCCTGTTCTTCTGCAACCTAACTTAGTATGTAAAAAAACTACAGTCTAAGAGTATATTCTTGTAACAAATAGCTGAGCCTCAGCCAATTACAGCAGCCAAGCTTCAGTTAATCCCAGGCTGCCAATTGATCAGCCCATGTCTATATAAATGCCCAAACAGGCAACCATGGAGCGTAACCAATCAAGTTGTAGCTGTACTCACTGTCTTTTTCTGTTTATAAATGCTGCCTACCCATGTTGCTGGGTGAAGCTCTCTGAACCGCTCTTGGCTCTGAGGGCTACCTGAACATGAATCCTTCTATCCCTTAAATAAATCTGCTAAATTTAATTTGTCTAAAGTTTTTCTTTTAACAGAGTGACTGACAGCAGCTTCCATTCCGCCACCCCTGCGATACTTTGAATTGCCTCAGCTTTGGCCAGAACACTTTTTTTTTTTTTTGAAAGAGTCTCACTGTGTTGTCCAGGCTGGAGTGCAGTGGTGCCATCTTGGCTCACTGCAATCTCTGCCTCCTGGGTTCAAGTGATTCTCCTGCCTCAGTCTCCTGAATAGTTGGGACTACAGGTGTGCACCACCACACCTGCCTAATTTTTGTATTTTTAGTAGAGACAGCGTTTCACCATGTTGGTCAGGCTGGTCTCAATCTCCCAACCTCAGGTGATCCGCCCATCTCAGCCTCCCAAAGTGCTGGGATTACACGAGTGAGCCACCGTACCTGGCCTGGCCAGAACTTCTAAGCCATCTTCTGAGTTCCTAATAACTTTTTTCTGTCATGCCTCTCAGCCATAACTGGCTACCTGACCTCACACCTCTGCTCTACCTCACCAACAGTCAGATCTCATCCCACCCCCACACCTCAGCCACCTCACTCTCTGGCTTTATTCCACCCATTATCACCATTTTTCCCAGCTTCCTACCAGAATGATAAACCGGCACTCAGGAAACCTCTCAGAATGGATTTGCCACAGCCAATTGTTTTTTTTTTTCTGATACTAAAGCTAAGAAAACATGCTTTTTCCAGATGTGTAACATTTTGAAACCAAGGCACTCCTTGTTTAAAAACAACACCTAAGAGCTCTACAGCAATGCTGTGTCACCCAGGCTGGAGTGCTATGTCACAATCTCAGCTCACTGCAACCTCCGCCTCCTTGGTTCAAGTAATTCTTCTGCCTCTGCCTCCCAAATAGCTGAGACTACAGGCACTTGCCGCCATGCCCGGCTTTTTAATTTAATTTTATTATTACTATTTTTTGAATTTTTGGTAGAGATAGGGTTCAGTATGTTGGCCAGGATGGTCTTGAACTCCTGACCTTGTGATCTGCCTGCCTTGGCCTCTCAAAGTGTTGGCATTACAGGCGTGAGCCACTGCGCACAGCCACAACAACGTTTTTAAGTGTATCATATCCATCAGCTGTTCTAATGCTGAAGCGAGAACATCTGTTTCACTGTACAAAAGGGGAAACTGAGGACCAGAGTGTCAAAGCCATTTGCCCAAGGTCACAGAGTACTTGCTCTGTCCAAGTATATCAGAGAGGATAAAAGGAGCCTTGTCCCCTCAGCTGGTTGAGAAAGGCCCAATCAGGAAAAGCAGCTGAGTACTTAACAAAACAATTAAGTTCAGAAGCTCAGCTCTGAGCAGCCTTGATTAAGCCAGATTTTGGTTCAGGAAGAGCAAGCCAGGAAGAGCTAGCACAGAGAATTCAACCTCTGGCTGAGATGCAGAGCTGGCTGCTGAATTTCGGGGGGATTCAACAAAAACACACTCACTGGAAGAATAAAGTGAGATAACAGAGCAATCATCCTAGGGCCAACTGTGGCCCATTAGCACTGGACAAGTGATGGGCCAATTGTGCTAATGGGCAGGCTCTGGAGGCTGTGGACAGAGTCCTGGAGACTGGGATTCCTTCCTGACTCCAGCAAGGAATGTGGAACAGTGGAGGCAAACCCACTCTCATTTAAAAACTTGCCAAGTCTGTTTCTCTTGGTCTCAATTTCTTTCATTTGCAAAACTAATAGGCATGGGGAGATTGTACAAGAAATCCACTGCAAATCTGTTATGTACACAGACCTTTCTTTTGAGCTCCAGACACATACATTCAACCACCTTCTAGACATCCACTTGGATGTTCCTTGGGCATCTTAAACTCAACATGTCCCAAACCATCTCCCATCACCCAACCCAGAAAGCTTAGGAAATCGGTCTCCTTCCCGATGTCCTTGCTCCTCAAGCCTAATCAGTCACCAAGCCCTGCTTCTTCCCTGTCCTTGACACAGCTGACATTAATCCCTTCACTGTCCACCTCCCGCCTTATCATCTTTACCCACAACTGTGCCACAAACACACATTGCTCCCCCAGTTTCCAGCCCTGACGCCCTCTAGTCATCTCTGTCTAGAAAAGATATCATGTCATTCTACTGCTCATTTATTCAATCAACAAA